CTACGAATGACTTTCTTCGATGTTGTTGTTGAATTTCTGAAGCTTTTTAACGAAACGACTATTAATCCTGTGGTATATGGCCCAGTCCTCTTCATTCCCTGTAATTGTGGCTTTCTCCCAGCCAGGCAGCTCTTCTGATAGAGAGAAAGTAAAGATAAGGGGGAAGATAAGATTTGCGGACAGGAACCTTAATGAGGGGTACGAACAACTCAATTGCATGATGCAAGACAGCTAAAAATAGTTCATACATTTCGTTGACTGTGCAAGCAGCGTTAAGTCCACTCCGCTCAAATAGGAACAAATGATATTGTAGTTTGCATCTTTGAAGTTTCGTTTCCACACCATGTTTGAAGGGGTTGTCACAATATTCACCGAAAATCGCAGAGAGGAGTGATCGCTGGACACAATTGGGGGCAATCGAGGTCATGACTAGGTTGGCAATAATTGCATAAAATGAGGTCTAGTATATGGTTACCCGGTGTATCTTTCCTGACCAACTGGTGCAAGGAGTGGGAAAAGCACATTTCCAAGAAAGAATTCGAGATAGAGGAGGTGGCAATAGGGGTATCAGACCAGATAATGTCCGGAAAATTGAAATCACCACAAATAAGGCATCTACAGTCGAACGAAATAATGTCACTAATTGCCTTGAACAATGCTCAGTATGACTATGCAGACAATTTGGAGCTCTGTAAGTAACCACCACACAAAAGGGCTTATCACCAGTAGTCAAATCACAACTTAGAATTTCATATCCGTTTAGACAGAGATCCGCGCAAAAACCGTATTAGAGTAAAAGGATTTGCGAATAAAAAGAACCACTCCACCCCCTTACTTATTCTTGCGGTCACATCTAACAATTTCATATTGAAGTGAGTGTTTACCTAGAAGCGACAAAACATCGACTTCAGGATAAAGCCAGGTTTCCACAAGTGCAATAATATCGTAATTGTGAAAATCAAGCAATGAAAGAAAAGCGTACCTATTCTTTATCACAACATTGGCGAATAAGAAAGAAATTTTTTTACCCAAGGGCCGGCGAGGAATTCCTAGTTTGACATCGCACCAGTAGAACTAGAGTTGGGATTGACTGAGAGGGAATCATTACGAACATCAGCATTATGCATGTCATATGATCGTAATAGACACTGGGTTCAAAGGAGATATGAAAGGACGTAACTACGAGCGGCCTTGTTCCGGGCGCGAGAGCAGGTCCCTCTCGATTGGTAGAGGGAAGGCGTATATAGATGCGGAGACACCGTAGTGCCTCAAACGGGAAGCGCGCTTTAGTACTTGCTTGGCGAAGAATGAAGCTGGGAGTATGACCTTGAGTAGTCTAGGATGGGATCTATTGAAAAGACCTAAGCGGTAGACAGTAAGAGGAAAACAGTCGATCGATAAATATTCAAGGATATCTCTTGCACGTTGAACATCATGAAAAACTCTTGCTGAGGACAAAGTGGAATTGCTTTCAACGATACGTGCAATGATGATAGAACGTCTACGTTCTATCTCTTCGTAGGAGACAGAATCACCAGGAGGAGGAGTTTGGGCTCATCGGCTGAATAGATTCAGAAGGAGAAACAATAGTACAAGATGTGACACTACCCATATCAGAAAGCTGTTTTCTCAAATTAGAGTTCTCCTGCCTTAATGATTTGACTTCTTCACTGGGCTCACGGCACAGTTGCACTATAGCTTGCGTACGTTTTCGTTCCTCTATGAGATATGACAACACCATCCTCAAATGAGTGGAAGCAACTCGTCTTCTTGGAGGGCAGATACATGTTTTTCCAGATCAGCCATAGGCGTGGGCGAGCATTCGAGGTCGGTACAGTGGCGTTTTTGAGCACCCTTACGCTGGAACCTAAACAAAAGAAGCGGCCAGAGGTGTATCCATCTCAAGGCCACCCTATTCAGCGAACTCAAAAGACCTTATCTGGTGGCTCGAGAGAAAGAGAATCCAAAAATTAGCCACCCAAGCCACAAGGCGGCTCAAGATCACAACGATATCAATACTAGTCAATAGTGCGATCGATGGACCCGACCGCAATTAACTGAACCAAAACTTGAGAAAATAGACCTGTGTAGGTGGCAAAATCGTCGAACTTCAAACACACCCTGCCAACGAGGTGCTCACCAAATGCTGGAGCAATACAGATCGACGTATAGTGTAGAGTACACCGAATAACCAGTAAACAAACGCTTATAAAGGGGCATCTCAAAGCGCTGCCTTTATCTTTTTCTTGTGCAGATACGAAATAGCGTTTATCTGGGAGAGGTGGAATCAGAACAGCAGTGGCTGGAATTGTGGGCTCGAAAAGTGCAGGGTGCACTTTCACGCTCTAATGCGCTCTACGAGCTCTGCACCGTGCAGCTGCCGGCAATTCACACAGACAAGAGCTCCAAGGGAAAAATTAGAGCATGCATGCATTATAAGTCTCACCATCAGCCATCGCTATCCTCAATACACGGACCGCACTTTCGAAACATTCCTGAAGTCTCAAGGAGACAAAGTGTAGAGCAGTTCATGGGAAAGTAAAACAACCATCAAACCATAAAACACACAATGGTACCGCAAAACATACAATGCAATTCGATCATGTACTATCACCTTCTTCGGGAAAGTGGAGGACCTTCAAATGCGAGTGCGACTTCCACCCACAGACAGGTGCACGGCGTATACCCGAGCAGGCGTTTTCCCATAAAAACGCCTTCTCTGTCAGCGGCCGTAAGCAGACAAACTTCCTCAAGAAAATTTTGATGCTTTCAAATCAAATCTAAGCGGAACAAAATGTAGCGAACTTGCTGAATTGAATTTCAAAGACCCCTTATGAAATTGAAGCAGAAGAAAGAATTCCATGAAAAGTTAACGCTAGTAATAAAGTACTCTTCGCGTAGATTCTAACGGTCTTTACCGCTTCTCATTTTATGAAGTTTGAAGGAAGTTATGGGTTCTTGAATATTGCAATGTCGCGGTTCAGAAGAAAGGCTTGAAAAAAAGTCTATGAAAAAAAAAACGGAACGACGGGACTATTTTTTGAAAATGATCGCTGGAAAATTTTCAGGTGCTTGTTCGAAAGCGCTAATCTTCTAGTTTCTAATTAGCCTTAGACATTTGCAAAAAGTTAATTATGAAGAAAGTTATGAATGTTTGAATGTCGAAAACTCGCGTCGTAACTTCGTATAGCATATCCAAGAGGCGCCGGGGACGACCGCGTGTGCACAAAAACGGAACGGCGGGACGATTTTTTTGAATATTGAACATCCGCAACATTTCAAATGCTTTTTTGAAAGAAAACTATTTGAATTTTTAAAATTTTGGTGTCCGGTTCCATGAGAGCGCCGACGAACGAAGATATAAGTTTTCAAATAAGGACGTAAATTACTACTGCATATCCAGTTTTCCGGCTTATACAAAAAGGAGATTCGGCCAGAAGCGGGGTCAACCGACAACCATATGACTTGTACAAGTAGCAACGGGGGGTCGTACTTGGATGGACCCGGAGGGGGGGGTCGTACTCTCTCGGTGGCCGGCAGTGGGATTTGTGGTAATCTCCCTACTGATCATAACCATGTTTCAGGAAGAGCATGAGAAAGGAAGACTTGCAGAAACAGCAGCTGCAAGACATGTAGCATCGTTCAAAAAGTACTCCCACCATGACATGGGTCCACCCACGAAACCACATTTGAAACTAAAGTGTAGCTGGAGTATTGCCTAAGACAACATGGACAATAGTCACCACATTACGTTTACGCAAGATAATTGATGCTAGAGCATCTGTAAGCCGCTTCCTTCTGAATGAGCTTTCAAATGAGTCAGCGAATCAGGAGTGCGACCGAGGCGTGGCGCACACCAAGGCAGGGGGAAATCAGTGCAAGCGCATGCACAAAGCATTCTAACACATCCTATGGTCAGCACGATATCTTTTCCCTGGACGGTTGCGGCCAGTGAAACCTAAAAAAACCGCTTTCTTAAAAGAATGGCTTCGGAGAATGCCCTAAAAAATGTAGCAACGGGACTAATTTTGAATTACTCACTTTTAAGAACGCGTACTTGGGTACTTTTTGAAAGCTTGAATCCTGTAGTTTCTCATACCGGGTTCAGCTTCCCAAATAAATGAGTTTGAAGGAAGTTATGTCGTTTGAAAGGTTGAAAAGTCGCGGTTTCAGAAAAATAGTTCCGCGAACCCCCCTAAAATGTAGCAACGGGACTAATTTTTGAATTACTCACTTTTCAAAACGTTCGGGTACTTTTTAGAAAGCTTGAATCCTGTAGTTTCTCATACCGGGTTCAGCTTCCCAAATAAATGAGTTTGAAGGAAGTTATGGTCGTTTAAAGGTTGAAAAGTCGCGTTTGCACAGAAAAAAGTTCCAACGTGTTAAATTTTTACTAAATTAGCTTTCGATGAATTTTCAGATATGATTGGAGAGAGAATGATTTGAATTTTTTATATCAAATAACTCCGAACGCAAAACTCAAAAGATCAAAAAGATCGAATATGAAGAAAGTTATAGCCCGAAAAAGAGGAAGGTGAAAATTGTAGTGCAAACTCATTTCCTGCTCAATAACTTAATTATTTCAGATTGTTTAAGAACAAATCCGCTCCACTTGAGAAGGATGACCGTCGGTGATCCAGAATCCACCTCCGTCTTGCGAGGAACCTGAAATTTTCCAAGGAAAAGTTCCTATACTTCTCATTTCCCATTTCGACACCTGTTCCCATTCAACAAACGCGCCCCATTGCAGCACCCAGCGCGCGATTCAATACATTCGAAACCTGTCAACACGCGTTTCCACTACCTTCTCGGCATTCTCAATCATTTCCCCCACTTCTCCATAATATGACGCCACAACCCACCCGTTTTCTCCAGCGGAGAATGCTTAATGACGTACTCTGAATCTCCTATGAAAACTCACCAGTAGGATTTTGGGCACAATGTGGCTGGGGGGAGGGGACACTCTGTAGAAACGTCTCTGGGACTAAGCTTGCGCATTTTGTTTAGTCCTGATCTCGTGAAGTTTGAAATGCTTCTATTATTTTATACTTGGGTCAGTGTATCGTGCAAGAAGAAAACCTCATAAGGGGCGGGAAGTGTGTGTAGGACAGCTGGCGCCACTCACCACCTGCGGAGCGGTTCCGGGGATCAAATCCTGAGGCCGTGAGTTCGCCCGCGCGCGTAACCAAGCCTTCCATCCCTCCGGGGTCGGTTAATTGGTACCAGACTTGTCTGGGAGGATAAAAACACTGACTTGTACATCGGCTGGCCCCCGCAAGTCATTGTATAGGCCACATCGCATTCAAATGCCACTGCGAATGTACAAATGGAAGTAGAATGCGTGCCGCATCCCAAAAAGGGATTGATCAACGGCAAATGCTTTATCCTTTTTTTATAGGTTATACTTTTCCAGGGTGAAAAGAAACCTCATTATAGAGATAAAAGGAATAAAAAATTGGTATGAATTGTGTCTTCATAAAAATTAGACACAGGGGGGTCGTACCAAATCGCCCATGGAGGGGGGGTCGTAAAAAAATCCAGAATGTAGCAACGATAGGACCGACTCTGTTTGGAAGTCCGCGGGAATCTCGGCAGATACCTGAAATTAGAGACCTCTGGGAACACAGTAGCACGTGTGCGTTTATAGAAATCTCTGAATTACTAAAAACTTAAGCTTAATATTCATTTATCTGATTCGTCATCGCGCGGAGTTTAGAACCGCCACCTAGTGCCCGCTAAGGCACGAATTCCTGGGTTCAAAATTCATTCCATGCTTTTCCGATGTCATTTTATGGTTCCATTTTTTATTGTTCTTTCATTCTTTCCTGCTTTATCGCTAGGGGTGTGGAAGGCTGAAGGCTGCTAAGGGTAGCAGAGGGTGAGGAGAGGAAATCTTTCCCTCGGGTGTAACCGGAGGAGCCTCAGCGTGCGGGGGCCTGTGTCGAGGCGGGGCACTGTAGATATATATAGACTTTAACTGCGGGACTTCCGTTAAGCAATATTTCCTATTTGCTCGCTAATGTTCTTGGCGACTTTCTTTTCCCTTCACCATCGCTTATCATTTCCTTTCAGATGTATATGAAGGGAGATATTCGCGGAAGGGATCGAGAAAATGAAAACCAAGCCTCACTTCTGCCTGATTCGAACTCCAACCTACCCATGATCGAGCTTTAAATGAAACAATGATCTCTTTCGTTCGAAAATTCGGAAGTTTTTCGATTTCCTCCATGAAATGGAGGATAAAATATGGCGTGTGAAGAAAATATTGTGTTATTTTCGGGATTTCTTCAGGAATAAAGAGAAGAAGCCATGTACACACTTCAACTTTATTGGACAAAGACGTTGATACACACAGAAATACACCGTAACACTAAAAAACACACATGTCCAATAGGGGGGGGGGTCGCACTGACACCCCTTGAAATGGAGGGGGTCGCAAAAAATTTGGAATTTGCGCAACGCAGGGTTGACCCTGGTGGAAGATGTCGGTCTTCACGGGCTGCGCCGCCAGTATCAGGGGTATCTGCGAATGGTCACGTATTGTGGGTGACCCCAGTTGGACGCTAGATGTTTTGTGATTGACTATTCGGTTGATAGTTAGAGCTTTCCTCAATTGCACTTCGCGTGTCATTTTACGTCAGGCAGAAGTTTACCACACACTCTAATATTTTATTTAGATAAGTGTCATGGCTCGTTTCTAAATCCAGGGTTCACGCTCCGAAACCGGGATGGAATAGTCATCCTTTGGTTCTTCTTCTGAACATAGATTACATGTTGTACCACACATCGCCTTGAGCTCTTTTTTGGGTATGAAAGCTGATTGGCAGAAATACTCGATCTTCTCCTTCTTCTGCTTGCATCCTGAAAAGTAGCTCAGGGTATATCGTTAA